AAATCATTAAAGTATCATTAATCATGAAAGTTACATTTTAAAAATAAATTTGTTTCTTTTAATACTATAATTAAAAATTCTAAAAATAGTACAATAAAGGAAAAAAATACATATAATAGAATATTTAAAATAGTGAATTAAATTGAAAGTATTGGAAAGAATACATCTAAAAATTTATAATATTTATAAAATTATAAATAATTAATTTAATATTAATTCTTCAAAATAAAAAAATAAGATTAAGAAATTGAAGAGCTATAAGATATAAATAATTAATCAATAATATTTTGTCAAATCTGCGATGGAATGGAACACAATGAAGACATTTTATTTTTCCTAGATAATAAATTCTTTGATAACAACAAAATTTATAAAAAAAAACAATTGTTATGAAACTGCAAAAAAGTGCAATGAGGAAAAGAAATATTTGAAAACGAGATGTTTCATCGTAATAAAAGGGTGCCCACCCCCACTCTCCATAACCATAAATTGATAGGAATGTTGGCTGCAATACGAGTAACTGTCTGATGTCATGCTATCTGTTTAATTGACTGAAATAGGCAACAGAAATCCACTCATACATTGTTGTATACAAAAGAAACAAAAAATGAAAGTAGAAACGAAGACAAAGAAAAAAAAACGAAATATAATTTCAACAAATATGCAAAACATAAATATAAAAGAATTTTAGCAAATATGACCCACCCAATTTGATTGATAAAGTATACGAAAAGTAAGAGATACACAATTGTATTTGAAGAATATGATGAGCCTCTCTCCCAAGAAAACTGGAACGGGTCACTGGGAAAAAAAATTCACTATCGATCCGCAAAACATAGCCACTATATATCATGCAATATTTCCAATTCCCTAGAATCAAAAAAATTGTTTCTTACCTATCGGATGCCATCCCAGAAAATTAATCCACGGTTTAGAACACAAAAACACTTCACGTCACTTCGTGAATAATTTGTGACACTTCATGAACACGACAGTGACACTTTAATGTTGCAATGTCCCATTTCCACGAGCATACGCGACGCAGCCCCTTCACGGCTGCCCATCAGCGGCCATCTTTTTTTCTTCTATTCGTTTTAGCGTTCTACCACTATAGTAAACGAAAACTTACTTTAATCTAGATTTAATGTATTCATATATTCATGTACAAGTCTTATTTAGTGCTCCCTTCTTGGTGAGTACTTACCACACGAATTCATTATTCTATTTTATTAACCAATGATATATTTAATATATTATAATTCATCTTTCTTCTATTCTTTTTGAACTTAAGACTGGAACAAATATTGATTGATTATTCGGATGGTTTACATCATGCAAGAAGTATCATTATAAATACTGTTTATACGAGTCGACTGTTTGATAGTTGACATTTTTGATAAAATTTATCTCTTATCGCATTTTTGAGGTTAGGAATCACCATATATAAAATTATATATTTTAAAATTTCGAAAAAATTTTTATGTGATTTTTTTAAATATTGAATTTGTTTCTAATTTGTTATGTTATTTTATTATAAATAATAATGTATTTCACACAAATTTTTTATGTAATTAAGTTGATATCTATATTAGATATTTTTATGCATATATTTTAGATATTAAATGCATTTTTTTATTTTAATTTCGATAACAAATATTATTTGTATTTATTTTATATTTTTTTTTTTTTTGAAATTTTCATTTCATTTTCATTTTTAAATTCACAATGAAATTCCTTAAATTTAAAAAAAATATATTTAACTTTAGCACGAACATTTTTTATATCTCAGATTGATGACATCTGCATTATTTTATAATAACTATCGTAATTTTAATGTTACTTTTGTCATTATCTAAGACAATTACAATAACTATGTATTGTAATTTTTAATTCATATATTGCAAAAAAAGAATAATATGATTCGTTAATTTCGAATGATGTATTTTTACGGTAGGAATTAATTAAAGGTTTATATCATATTTAAATATATCAATAATATTATTATTAAATCTCATATATATTATCATTTTATTATATATAAAGAATATATTCTTTTTTTGATTTATAAACAAAATTTTTTTAAATTATTTAAAATTATTTATTTTCTTTTGAATTATTTAATATTTCTAATATAATTAACCTCAAATGCAATATGTCATTGTATGAATATACAATTAATTGTTTAATTAAATAAATTATTTTATTTTCTTTTTTATATAAAAAATGATTAACAGTTTTCAAGTCATTTAAAAATTTTAAAATATATTTCTCTTTTATTATTAAAACGATTTTTACAACGATTTTTAATTTTAATTTTTATTGCATGTAATGTAAATTATAAAAAAAACTTAATTAAAATCTAAAAATTTTTACAAAAATTTATTTTTAATTATTGAAATATATTAATATATTTTAAATTATTTAAAAATTATAATAAAATTCCATTGAAATATATTTATCTTTTAATAGTGTCAACATTATAAGTAAATAAATAAAAAATATATATATATTGAGTGATATAATATATAATAATGGTTCTGGATCAAGACGTATTAACAGTGTTAAAATTATTAATGATAGGAGAATCTAATGTTGGAAAATCAAGGTAATTATCAGAAAAAATTAATTATTTAATTGCTTTAATATAATAAATTATTATATTTAACAATTTAATAAATTGAATAAATATAATAAATTGAATAATTATTGTGTAACAGCATAATTCTTAGATTTACGGAGGATGAATTTCATGAAAATATGCAAAGCACAGTTGGAATGGATTATAGGACTAAACAAGTTACAATTGATGGCAATACAGTAAAACTTGCAATTTGGGTCAGAATTATTTATTGTAAAAATATATTATAAAAATATATTTGTATAAATATAATATATTAAAAAATTATTATAGGATACTGCAGGACAAGAACGTTTTCGTACTTTAACGCCTAGTTATTATAGAGATGGCCAGGGTGCCATATTAGTATATGATGTTACAGATAGAGTTACTTTTATGAAGTTAGAAACATGGCTTAATGAGTTGAATACATATTGTAATAAAACAGATATTATTAAAATGGTAGTAGGTAATAAGATAGATTTACCAAACAGGGAAGTAAGCACTGAAGAAGGTCTACAATTTGCTAGAAGACATCAAACTCTGTACATTGAAAGTAGTGCTAAAACAGCAGATGGAATCAAATGTTGTTTTGAAGAACTTGTACAAAAGGTATAAAAAGGTATAATTTTCTTTAAAATTATTTAAAATGTTATAAATTAATATTATTTATTAGATAATACAAACACCTGGTCTTTGGGATCGACATACTCTTCTTAAATCATATGGTAATGGTAATATAGGAAGTACAAGACATAGAGGTCAAAGAGGCATACAATTAGCAGATGATTCTCAACCACATGAACCATATTCAAATTGCTATTGTACTTTGATTTAATCGATTGTAATATAAATATTTTATCAGTGATTATTGTAAAGAAACCATAGCTTGAATATGGTCTATTCAAAAACTAAACATTAAACTATGTGAATTTTGAAGACAAACGAAAAATAATTCAGCACATTATTACTTTATATATTATTAAAAGAAATATTTTATATGTTATCAAAGATACATACATAAATATTAAATTTATGCATTAATAATATCGAAATTTTTGATATATGCAAATTGGAGATTTTTTCTATATTTATTAGTAACTTTATTCAACAATGTACATATTTTCTATATTTTTAATTTTTTTTTATATTTTTCTAATAGCTAATTTCTTTCTTTCTTTTTTTCTTTCAGAATTTCGCATATTATGCAAAGAATTATTCAAAAGAAATTGAGAAAACTGATATTATTAATGCATTAACTAATACATACGTACATATACTATTTACTTCTAATTTTTAATTCTTTAATAAATAGTCAAGTTTTATAGATATTTGTAATACAAAATTTATATTGTTGTGTAGCAACAATAATATTCATGTAAATATATTATGTATTTATTTAATTTAATAACCAATAAATATTAATAAAATAATAATAATGTCAAATTATAAACAAATATATTTTTAATTCCCAGGAAATATAATATTTTGTTAAATATATTTTAATATTTATGATTTCAATATTTGTATTGTTATATATTTAATTGTTAATTATTGCTATTTTTTTATTGATATATTATAAATATTAATGTTTAGAAGCACATAAATAAATTAA